TTGCTGCCATAGATAGTTGTTTTTCGTTTGCAGATATCTTCGGTGAAAGCCACCATAGAAAAGGCTGCGGTCAGGCCACCTTCAAACTCCATGTTAACAATCTGCAAGAGAAACGGAAGACGTTCCGAAAATGCAGTATAACTCTACAGGTGAACGTTTTTCTCTTTGTCCGCTGCTGCAGCGATGCGGAAAAAGTAGCAGCAGCAGCAGCAGATCTTCCGTGTCAAGGGAAAACAAGCTCGAGGGAAACAAATTATGCTCATAGTTTGTTTTCCGACTTGTGTTCAATGAACACAAAATGGATGATAAAAGCTCGTTTTCTGTTTTTTCCTTTTCCTTGTTTTTATTCGTAATTTTATGCCAGAGGCTGCGGGCCGGTGGGAATTTGAACACAGGATGCAATTGACCCCTGGGGGGACTTGCTTCATGTCGATAAAGCAATATATGGGTGCACTTAATGACCCATTTTCCATTATGATCAAATTGGATTTTTCATTTTTTGAACTGTGATGTGTTTTTCGGCAAAAATGAAGTGAATTGAGTTGAGTCCACTGGCACCACAAAGGGCTTATATCCATTTTTTGCCCTGTAGTAAAAGTAGAAAATGTCTTTGAATTGTCAACGACGACTCCTCCCTCAAGATATTTTCAAGTTTTGAACATCAGCATTTCAAATTCAAGGTCTTTTAACCTGGTTACTGCAGACGTCGTTGTCACACTCATAGACGCATCGGCCGTATGGTCCAGTCCTCAGAGCCTCAGATACAGTCTCGATGTCTGGTAAAGTGTCGGGGCATAAGGCGGCCAGCGGCCAGCCAACACGGCCCTAAGGGGGAAAAAAAAACAACAACAAAAAATAAAGCACCATCAAGCATGCAAAATCCACAGCATTTGCTACAATGATCACCTGTTTCACCCTGTCCAGGTAGATTTTGCTTGCGGAGTAAGGACAGGGTTGTCACATTTTACAATACATTATAATCCTTCCATTTTCGACACCGCTTGATCTGTCAGAAAATTGGTACTATTGTCAGGTTGATTAACCTCGTCATTTATGCTTAAACAACACGCTTGGTCAAGACAAATGAACGGTAAATATTACATCTTTAACTCAGACGGGCATGTTGCCATATTCCACAAGGAATTACTCTGCTACATGACTGAGTTTTTTGGGGGTTCTTATCTATGAGCTTCAATACATTGTTATTGGAAGAGTAATTCAAATTGAAACAAATCAGACTTAAATTGAGTTTTGTGATGCGCGACAAAAACGGACAGTTCGAGGCAATGGCAGACATCCATTTGTCATACACGTGACATGTTATTTTTTTACTAGCCATGCTGTCACTCACGGCCATTGGTTTCTCCAAAAGAACATGGTAGCCCTTCTTCGCAAACGCCACTGCGGGCTCCTGGGACACACAAACATACAAAAAAGATACAGGCCAACAACAAGGGTGTGGGAAGACAAAGTAATACAGATGCTATTAGTATTAAATATTGACCTTATGAAGGACGTCTGGAGTGCAAATTAAAACGGCATCGGCACACTTCTCTCTTTCAGCTAAAATGCGCCAGTCTAGGAAAGGCAGCATTGAAAATAGAACGAGGCACATCGTTGGCAAAATTTCAAGGTGTTTCGTGCTCACCTTCATACAGGTTCTCCTCTGCAATGTTGTACAGTTGTTGGAACTTTGTGCGGGCAAACTTCCTGGGATCAGCTACTCCGACAACCTGCAGTAATGTCGTGATACTGCTCATAGCTTTCAACTTTTACTGCAGGCTCCAGTACGGCTTGTTATCTTATTGATCTCTCTGATGTAATGAAATTGGAGGCAATAAACAGTTTCACAAAAGCCGACACAATAGATTTATTTTTCTTGCCCGTTGGCAGATGATAGCTGATGTAGCCTCCTCGCTGCCAATCTTTAAAACCCGCCTCAAAACTCACTTGTATTCTTTGGTATTTGACTCAGCATGATCCAAATTATGATCTTAGTTATACTGTTTGGTGCTCTCTACAGTCTTTGTTACTGATTTGTTGCTTTACTATTGTATATGTTAGTTGCTCCATGTACAGCACTTTGTGTGCAGCGAAGTGCTCGAGAAATACTGTTGAGTTGAGTTGAGAGTTGATTTGGGATTCAGGACATCCCTGGGGTTTTTTATTCAGACAAAGTTATAGAATTTGTTTTTTCTCGTCAGTCAGGTCACAAACGGGAGCCTGCCTACTCATCATCATTTCTTATTTTCTAGGTCTGTCCAACAAGTGGGTGTGCGTGCACGTGTGTATGAACCCCAGCAGCATCCAGTCCCGCAAACCCCGCCCCTCTTCGGCGGAGAACGGGATCTCTATTGACACATTCAAAACGCACCGATGCCCACTCGTCCGCCGCCGCTGCCGCCTTTCCTCCTCGAGTCTCGGCGTTACTTTAGGGATTTGCGTTGTGTTCCTGAATAATCACAGAAAAAGTCAATCTGGATACTCACAAGCCCCGCGTTGTTGCATTTTTTTATGAATCCTGAGAATTGTGAGGTTTGCTTGGGATGTTGTCACATTTTACAATACATTATAATCCTTCCATTTTCGACACCGCTTGATCTGTCAGAAAATTGGTACTATTGTCAGGTTGATTAACCTCGTCATTTATGCTTAAACAACACGCTTGGTCAAGACAAATGAACGGTAAATATTACATCTTTAAATATACTGTATATTTACAAATATACTTGCTATCTGTAGGTAGAATACACTATGCTATTACATAAGAAATAATTTGGGGAATCACATCAAGTAACTGTGAATAAAGTCAAATAAACCATTACCGTGTATATACTGTACCGATTGAAAAGCGCTCGGGACGACACCAACTGCTCATATAAACCCAGACGTCGAAATGGCGCACTCGGGTATTTTCGGCTCACTTCGTCACATTACGGCAAGGTCACATGACGCCGTTTGTTCAACAGCGTGAGCGCTCAAGTCTGGTTAGCTACAAACATCCGCTGTGATGCTACTTAGCTCGTGACTCAACATTTCGTTTGCTTTTACACATTCCCAAAGTAGCGTGCGGAGGAATTTATTAAGCCACACGTGTCTCTTTAATGATACGGGGCTAGACTTGTGGGCATTTGGAGCGTGTTTTTATTTTAATTGCTCGTCAAGAAATAAAATACTAGCCGAGTTTTAGCGTTAGCTAGCCGACAAGTTCTTTCCCACAACTGCGAAAAGGTGAACAGCATCGCCATGAATGTTGACAGCGCGAACCAGTCTGTCACCACCGGAGCTTCGTCTAACGTCACGACGTCTTTAACTTCAAGCTTCTCCTCTGCAATGTTGTACAGTTGTTGGAACTTTGTGCGGGCAAACTTCCTGGGATCAGCTACTCCGACAACCAGTAATGTCGTGATACTGCTCATAGCTTTCAACTTTTACTGCAGGCTCCAGCACGGCTTGTTATCTTATTGATCTCTCTGATGTAATGAAATTAGAGGCAATAAACAGTTACACAATAGATTTATATTCCTTGCCCGCTGGCAGATGATAGCTGATGTAGCCTCCTCGCTGCCAATCTTTAAAACCCGCCTCGCACGTTGTCAAATCGAATGGCTATCAGCTGTTGTCCAGGGCTAGCTTTTACAGAAAAAAAAACAATTATTTGCACTTATTTACTCTCAGAATGCAGTGGATTAGAATTCTTCTTTTGCATCTCTGTCGTGTACAGCACTTTGTGTGCAGCGATGGCTGTTTGAAAGTGCTCTATAAATACAGTTGAGTTGAGTTGAGTTGATTTAAAAATAACTCACCAGTGAGGAGACATTGGGATTTCCAAGGAATGTTGCAGAGTTACATAAATGAACTGTTGCATATTGAGATTCATCACTTTTCTACCTCGTTAAATAACTTTTGACATTTTTCTGGTAGGAAATCGTGAACACGATCTTCATTTTTTCATAGAGATGAATATCATGAATAATAAAAAATAAAATGTCAAAGCACATTTGTTATTTCAGACGTTTGTATGACACTGGACACTTTGACATTCGTTACCGCAGACGCAGCTCTCGATTTAAAAAAAAGGTTTGTCACTTGGCGAACCTTCACACGATCAGGGTGGATGATGGAATAGCGGGAGTAGATCTCCCCTCGACAACCTGCACCCACCACGATGACCCGGACAAGTGGACTCATGTTGACGTCGCCGACCTTCCGCACTCCTGTGCCTGTCAAGTCCGTTTCTTCCTCGAGTCTCGGCGTTACTTTAGGGATTTGCGTTGTGTTCCTGAATAATCACAGAAAAAGTCAATCTGGATACTCACAAGCCCCGCGTTGTTGCATTTTTTTATGAATCCTGAGAATTGTGAGGTTTGCTTGGGATGTTGTCACATTTTACAATACATTATAATCCTTCCATTTTCGACACCGCTTGATCTGTCAGAAAATTGGTACTATTGTCAGGTTGATTAACCTCGTCATTTATGCTTAAACAACACGCTTGGTCAAGACAAATGAACGGTAAATATTACATCTTTAAATATACTGTATATTTACAAATATACTTGCTATCTGTAGGTAGAATACACTATGCTATTACATAAGAAATAATTTGGGGAATCACATCAAGTAACTGTGAATAAAGTCAAATAAACCATTACCGTGTATATACTGTACCGATTGAAAAGCGCTCGGGACGACACCAACTGCTCATATAAACCCAGACGTCGAAATGGCGCACTCGGGTATTTTCGGCTCACTTCGTCACATTACGACAAGGTCACATGACGCCGTTTGTTCAACGGCGTGAGCGCTCAAGTCTGGTTAGCGACAAACATCCGCTGTGATGCTACTTAGCTCGTGACTCAACATTTCGTTTGCTTTTACACATTCCCAAAGTAGCGTGCGGAGGAATTTATTAAGCCACACGTGTCTCTTTAATGATACGGGGCTAGACTTGTGGGCATTTGGAGCGTGTTTTTATTTTAATTGCTCGTCAAGAAATAAAATACTAGCCGAGTTTTAGCGTTAGCTAGTCGACAAGTTGTTTCCCACAACTGCGAAAAGGTTAACAGCATCGCCATGAATGTTGACAGCGCGAACCAGTCTGTCACCACCGGAGCTTCGTCTAACATCACGACGTCTTTGACTTCAAGCAACTGTATCGTGAATGAGAATGCGACCAGCAACGTCGGCAGCAACCCCGTGGTTACCAGCAATGGTAGTTCATATTGATCAAATGCTTCGGAAATTTGAGAACACTGACTTGTCTTTGCTTCGCAACCCGTAAATATACAAATAACAGGTTTTTCAGAAACTAGATTACACGTTTTATTCAATAGTATGTATTTTCTCTCATTTTATAAATGCAGGAGTCTTCCATCATGTTGCCGCACGTTGTCAAATCGAATGGCTATCAGCTGTTGTCCAGGGCTAGCTTTTACAGAAAAAAAAAAAATTATTTGCACTTATTTACTCTCAGAATGCAGTGGATTAGAATTCTTCTTTTGCATCTCTGTTAATAAAAACAGCGTCGGCCCCTGCTCCTACCGTGACATCATCATCAGACTCGTCTGTGCCCAATGGAGTTTATGTTCCGGGAGGCATCACCAATGGAGATGTAAAGTCAACCGTCTCTACAACCCCACTGGCTGACTTCGTCATGCAACTGGAAGAGTACACTCCCACGGCAAGTCTTGCTTTCTCGCTACTTAGTTTGTACTGCACATACAATAGCGACACAAGCCTATAAAAGTAAAAGCCTCCATGTAATTTAAGTGCTGATTTGATTTGTCTTCAATCGAGCTCATTTCCAATTCTTCATTCTCTAAAATCAGACACAATCCATCAAGTAGAGATGGTTACCCTCCGATTTGTTCAGGTTTCAAAACAAAATCCCCAGTTGAGAAATTAATCTAGTTTTTATAGCATTTGTCCATGTGGTTGAGCTAGCGGCTATCCCAGGTGACCGGGTGAGAGGTACCGGGCTGGTCGGCAGTCAATTGCAGGGTCCATTATGAAGACAAATGGCCATTCACAACTATGGACAAGAGTCTTACATGAGCCTAACATGCAAGGTTTTGGAGTGTGGGAAGAAGCCAGAGTACCTGGGGAAAACGAAATCCACAAATCTTCTGAAGATGAAAGGCTTCTGAAAATTTTGGAGCATCAGTTAAGTTAGTTTTAAGTCATCTAATCTTCTTGATATACTGCGTTGTGAATTTCTGTATGCCTTTGACAATAAATCCATGTCTTGTTATGCCTCCAGGAATGTAGCCGATTTTTTAAAATGTTCTTTCTTTGTGCTCAATAAAGCATTAATCTTAATGACAACTGTCATGACATGAGGTGGACATTACAACTGCATGTGGTTTTCTGCTGATCCAAATTGGGATTTCTTCAGCCATGGCAGAGGTTTGGGCCATTCAAGTGTGGATTCAGCACTGACCTTTATTTTTGTTTTTGTTTTGCCAGATTCCCGATGCAGTGACAGGCTACTACCTCAACCGGGCAGGCTTTGAAGCATCTGATCCAAGAATGTATGCATTTTTGGTTCTGGGAATGGTTAAAAATTCACTGTAGGACAGTTGAAAGCATCGTGAAATCTTATAAATAATATTATTTATTATTCATTTTTCTTTTTTTTTTTAGGGACAGTTGAAAGCATAGTGAAATCTTATAAATTATACTAGTTATTATTCATTTTTCTTTTTTTTTTTTTAGAATCCGCTTAATCTCGCTTGCCTCGCAGAAGTTCATTTCAGACATCGCCAATGACGCTCTGCAGTATTGTAAAATGAAGGGGACTGCGTCGGGGAGCTCAAGGAGCAAGGCGAAGGTCTCCTTCCATTTCTTAATGTCCTGCCATGCCCATTAAAATTGGCATATGTGCTAATGCCATTGTTCTTTTCATGATAATTGTTGGTCTGTTTTGTCCTGCTTATTTCTAGGATAAGAAATACACTCTGACGATGGAGGACCTGGCCCCCGCTCTTTCAGAATACGGCGTCAATGTCAAGAAGCCCTACTACTTTACATAGAATGCAGGCTCCTTTTGCTTGAGCTCGTTTTAATTTCTGGCTAACAACGTCACTTGTTTGTCAAATTGCTCATTTTCAATCACAGTGCTTTAACACATTTTGAAGTCACTCTTTATTTTTGTGGTTCCACCTTTGACTTTTTCCCATTTGTAAATGTGTGTTTTATTGTACAAATAAAACCCAAAATATGAATCTGCGTTTGTGTCTCTTGAGTTTTTGCATCGTTAAAATTGGATCCAGAGTCGAATATTCCGGTCAAGATGGGCGCGTGCATACTTAAGTGTATTAAACGGTATAAAAATGAGTGGTAGTTCACCATAATGGTGATATTAGTGATTCAGATCACCGATTAACAATTCGAAATTTACATCCATCCGTGTATTTTACATAGTGCAATTCACAATTTAGATTTTACATCCTTCCATCCAATTTATGTAGTGCTTATCCTCATTAGGGTCCCTTGAGCCTTTCACAGCTGCCTGACCGCGAGGCGAGGTACTTCCTGGACTCTTCGCCAGTCAATCACAAAGCATAAATATGGGTAATTTAGGGATTTCATCATGTATGGTCTATAATATCAAAGGGTACAGAGAATATGGAGAGATCATTGGATGCGAGCGGCATGGCCAAAATCAGCATTGAATGAATACCGGCGACCTTCGATCCCTCAGCCGCCACTGCACCAAAAACCGACATCATGGTGAAAAGGTTCTTCATGGTAAACACACACTAGTGAAGTACATCTCTGTTTTTTTTTTTTGTTTGTTTTTTTATTTTTATTTTTACTTTATGTGGGGGTGGGGTTCTTTAAAGTAAATAATTAAATACATCAAAGAAAATAATCATTTAAATTAGCCTAAGGCCATGCAGAATTTTCCCGCATGCCGCCAGGTACCTACCTATCCATGCTGAGCTACTTTATTTTACTACACGCGTTTTCTTTGGGTTTGTCCCTAACTGCTTGCCGTAATATGACTTTACTGTTTTCCGTAGAAATTTCCGGTTGTTCGAATTCGCATCTGAACGAGTGTTCACCGTTTTTTTCCCCCCTATTTAAACGCGAAGTGAGTGGAATAATGTATTGTCACATTTTTACAATACATTATAAATCCTTCCATTTTCGACACCGCTTGACCTGTCAGAAAATTGGTACTATTGTCAGGTTGATTAACCTCGTCATTTATGCTTAAACAACACGCTTGGTCAAGACAAATGAACGGTAAATATTACATCTTTAAATATACTGTATATTTACAAATATACTTGCTATCTGTAGGTAGAATACACTATGCTATTACATAAGAAATAATTTGGGGAATCACATCAAGTAACTGTGAATAAAGTCAAATAAACCATTACCGTGTATATACTGTACCGATTGAAAAGCGCTCGGGACGACACCAACTGCTCATATAAACCCAGACGTCGAAATGGCGCACTCGGGTATTTTCGGCTCACTTCGTCACATTACGACAAGGTCACATGACGCCGTTTGTTCAACGGCGTGAGCGCTCAAGTCTGGTTAGCGACAAACATCCGCTGTGATGCTACTTAGCTCGTGACTCAACATTTCGTTTGCTTTTTTTACACATTCCCAAAGTAGCGTGCGGAGGAATTTATTAAGCCACACGTGTCTCTTTAATGATACGGGGCTAGACTTGTGGGCATTTGGAGCGTGTTTTTATTTTAATTGCTTGTCAAGAAAATACTAGCCGAGTTTTAGCGTTAGCTAGTCGACAAGTTGTTTCCCACAACTGCGAAAAGGTTAACAGCATCGCCATGAATGTTGACAGCGCGAACCAGTCTGTCACCACCGGAGCTTCGTCTAACGTCACGACGTCTTTAACTTCAAGCAACTGTATCGTGAATGAGAATGCGACCAGCAACGTCGGCAGCAACCCCGTGGTTACCAGCAATGGTAGTTCATATTGATCAAATGCTTCGGAAATTTGAGAACACTGACTTGTCTTTGCTTCGCAACCCGTAAATATACAAATAACAGGTTTTTCAGAAACTAGATTACACGTTTTATTCAATAGTATGTATTTTCTCTCATTTTATAAATGCAGGAGTCTTCCATCATGTTGCTGCACATTGTCAAATCGAATGGCTATCAGCTGTTGGCCAGGGCTAGCTTTTACAGGAAAAAAAAAAATTATTTGCACTTATTTACTCTCAGAATGCAGTGGATTAGAATTCTTCTTTTGCATCTCTGTTAATAAAAACAGCGTCGGCCCCTGCTCCTACCGTGACATCATCATCAGACTCGTCTGTGCCCAATGGAGTTTATGTTCCGGGAGGCATCACCAATGGAGATGTAAAGTCAACCGTCTCTACAACCCCACTGGCTGACTTCGTCATGCAACTGGAAGAGTACACTCCCACGGCAAGTATTGCTTTCTCGCTACTTAGTTTGTACTGCACATACAATAGCGACACAAGCCTATAAAAGTACAAGCTCGACATTACAATAGGAGGACAGGTGAGTTGGAGAAAGACTTTCTTAACTCTTGTCCGTAACCAAGATGGAGAAACACACATGAGGCACCCCGGTGCTGACAGAAAGATTGAAGCGTGATCACTCACTCTGTTACAACAATCTTAGGTTGTGTCACTTGAAAACAAAAAAAAAATGTACAAAAGTAAAATCCCTCATGTTTATTCGTCATTCTTTGTCAAATAAATAAATGAATGGTGGCAGGAGGCGGATCATTTCCTTCTCGTGAAGTAATGTGCTATACCAGACTTTTAGGATTTGTTAGGATACCAATAACGTTTTGGTAGAAATTTTATCAACACTGATTGCGTGAAATAAATACTGGCCATTAATTTGTACCAAGTTTGTTGTACATTTGAATTCATAATAAAACAGAAAAATAATGTGCATGAATATGTATGCACTTGCCAAACAAAGATGAAAATTATACATTTCATATTTTCTGTTTGTTACTACTCTGAGCCCAAATTGTTCAAATTAAAGACATTCTTCATGGTGTGGAAATCAAGATGGCTTAAATCTCCTCAGCAAAGTTTTTGCCTCTTACTTAAGCACAGACCTAAAAAAAAGAAAAGTATCCACCTTATTTCTACAGCCATTTCAAAGCATTGCTCTTGTAGTCACAGATCCAACTTCTTCTGCTTGTTTGTACAACCTTCAACATCGCAACAAGTTCCTAAACCGTGCAACACATTTCCAATGCATTGGGGACGTATGATGCCTGTGAAAAGGTGGTGAAAAAACACGTTCAAATAAATCGTGTTCATGTTCTGTTGTATTTTGTGCTTCATAATGTTTTAAGTTGCACTTACGGATGTCGCGCCGAACTGTATTTACTGAGATTGGTTTTCTGAAGTGTTCCCGAGCCCGTGTGGTTATATTCTTTACACATTGATGTCTGTCTTTGATACATTGCCGCCTGAGGGATCGAAGGTCACAGCCATTCAATTTTGGTTTTGGCTTTGTGCACACATTGTCATCAGCATGTTGCAACGGATATACAGAAAGACTTGAAGAGTCATAGAAAGGCATCAGAGTCATCATTCATCTCCATTTGTATGTCTTTGTTTTATTCGTGTTAAAGTAGCAGTTATTTTAAGGTGTATAGTTACTTCGTCAATGCTCAAATCTGCCATATTTTCCAAGTCTCGCTGCCAATGTCAGTCGAGATTGTTTTTTTTGCTCACATTGGGTGTTTCTAAAGATAAAGTTTTTGCATCGTTAAAATTGGATCCAGAGTCGAATATTCCGGTCAAGATGGGCGCGTGCATACTTAAGTGTATCAAACGGTATAAAAAATAAGTGGTAGTTCACTCATAATGATGATATTAGTGATTCAGATCACTGATTAACAATTCGAAAATTTACATCCATCCGTGTATTTTACATTGTGCAATTCACAATTTAGATTTTACATCCTTCCATTCAATTTATATAGTGCTTATCCTCATTAGGGTCCCTTGAGCCTTTCACAGCTGCCTGACCGCGAGGCGAGGTACTTCCTGGACTCTTCGCCAGTCAATCGCAAAGCATAAATATGGGTAATTTAGGGATTTTCATCATCCATGGTCCATAATAACAAAGGGTACAGAGAATCTGGAGAGATCATTGCATGCAAGCGGCATGGCCAAAATCAACATTGAATGAATACCGGCCACCATCGATCCCTCAGTCCCCACGGCACCAAAAACCTACGTCATGTGAAAAGGTTCTTCATGGTAAACATACACTAGTGAAGTACATCTGTTTTTTTGTATTTGTTTTTTTTTTTAAACTTTATATGGGGGTGGGGTTCTTTAAAGTAAATAATTAAATACATAAAATAAAATAATCATTTAAATTAGCCTAAGTCCATGCAGGGTTTTCCCGCATGCCGCCAGTTACCGACCTATCCATGTTTGAGCTACTTTATGTTACTACACGCGTTTTCTTTGGGTTTGTCCCTAACTGCTTGCCGTAATATGACTTTACTGTTTTCCGTAGAAATTTCCGGTTGTTCGAATTCGCATCTGAACGAGTGTTCACCGTTTTTTTTCCCCCTATTTAAACTCGAAGTGAGTGGAATAATGTCCGTTCAAGCGACAAACCCCAACAATCCTATTGTTTTCTTCGACATTACAATAGGAGGACAGGTGAGTTGGAGAAAGACTTTCTTAACTCTTGTCCGTAACCAAGATGGAGAAACACACATGAGGCACCCCGGTGCTGACAGAAAGATTGAAGCGTGATCACTCACTCTGTTACAACAATCTTAGGTTGTGTCACTTGAAAACAAAAAAAAATGTACAAAAGTAAAATCCCTCATGTTTATTCGTCATTCTTTGTCAAATAAATAAATGAATGGTGGCAGGAGGCGGATCATTTCCTTCTCGTGAAGTAATGTGCTATACCAGACTTTTAGGATTTGTTAGGATACCAATAACCTTTTTGTAGAAATTTTATCAACACTGATTGCGTGAAATAAATACTCGTCATTAATTTGTAGCAAGTTTGTTGTACATTTGAATTCATAATAAAACAGAAAAATAATGTGCATGAATATGCATGCACTTGCCAAACAAAGATGAAAATTATACATTTCATATTTTCTGTTTGTTACTACTCTGAGCCCAAATTGTTCAAATTAAATACATTCTTCATGGTGTGGAAATCAAGATGGCTTAAATCTCCTCAGCAAAGTTTTTGCCTCTTACTTAAGCACAGACCTAAAAAAAAGAAAAGTATCCACCTTATTTCTACAGCCATTTCAAAGCATTGCTCTTGTAGTCACAGATCCAACTTCTTCTGCTTGTTTGTACAACCTTCAACATCGCAACAAGTTCCTAAACCGTGCAACACATTTCCAATGCATTGGGGACGTATGATGCCTGTGAAAAGGTGGTGAAAAAACACGTTCAAATAAATCGTGTTCATGTTCTGTTGTATTTTGTGCTTCATAATGTTTTAAGTTGCACTTACGGATGTCGCGCCAAACTGTATTTACTGAGATTGGTTTTCTGAAGTGTTCCCGAGCCCGTGTGGTTATATTCTTTACACATTGATGTCTGTCTTTGATACATTGCCGCCTGAGGGATCGAAGGTCACAGCCATTCAATTTTGGTTTTGGCTTTGTGCACACATTGTCATCAGCATGTTGCAACGGATATACAGAAAGACTTGAAGAGTCATAGAAAGGCATCAGAGTCATCATTCATCTCCATTTGTATGTCTTTGTTTTATTCGTGTTAAAGTAGCAGTTATTTTAAGGTGTATAGTTACTTTGTCAATGCTCAAATCTGCCATATTTTCCAAGTCTCGCTGCCAATGTCAGTCGAGATTGTTTTTTTTGCTCACATTGGGTGTTTCTAAAGATAAAACTGTTGCGAATGTCTCATCAGCTGTTTACACAACTTTTTCCCTCCTACGTTGCAGGATGTGGGGCGGATGAAAATTGAACTTTTTGCTGATGTCGTCCCAAGGACGGCTGAGAATTTCCGGTATGTTGTGATCTTAATTTGAGCATCGTTTTATTGTACCTTTTCTGGCAAGAAGCTTTTTTTTTTCACAGCTGCCTGACCGCGAGGCGAGGTACTTCCTGGACTCTTCGCCAGTCAATCGCAAAGCATAAATATGGGTAATTTAGGGATTTTCATCATCCATGGTCCATAATAACAAAGGGTACAGAGAATCTGGAGAGATCATTGCATGCAAGCGGCATGGCCAAAATCAACATTGAATGAATACCGGCCACCATCGATCCCTCAGTCCCCACGGCACCAAAAACCTACGTCATGTGAAAAGGTTCTTCATGGTAAACATACACTAGTGAAGTACATCTGTTTTTTTGTATTTGTTTTTTTTTTTAAACTTTATATGGGGGTGGGGTTCTTTAAAGTAAATAATTAAATACATAAAATAAAATAATCATTTAAATTAGCCTAAGTCCATGCAGGGTTTTCCCGCATGCCGCCAGTTACCGACCTATCCATGTTTGAGCTACTTTATGTTACTACACGCGTTTTCTTTGGGTTTGTCCCTAACTGCTTGCCGTAATATGACTTTACTGTTTTCCGTAGAAATTTCCGGTTGTTCGAATTCGCATCTGAACGAGTGTTCACCGTTTTTTTTCCCCCTATTTAAACTCGAAGTGAGTGGAATAATGTCCGTTCAAGCGACAAACCCCAACAATCCTATTGTTTTCTTCGACATTACAATAGGAGGACAGGTGAGTTGGAGAAAGACTTTCTTAACTCTTGTCCGTAACCAAGATGGAGAAACACACATGAGGCACCCCGGTGCTGACAGAAAGATTGAAGCGTGATCACTCACTCTGTTACAACAATCTTAGGTTGTGTCACTTGAAAACAAAAAAAAATGTACAAAAGTAAAATCCCTCATGTTTATTCGTCATTCTTTGTCAAATAAATAAATGAATGGTGGCAGGAGGCGGATATCATTTCCTTCGTGAAGTAATGTGCTATACCAGACTTTTAGGATTTGTTAGGATACCAATAACCTTTTTTTAGAAATTTTATCAACACTGATTGCGTGAAATAAATACTCGTCATTAATTTGTAGCAAGTTTGTTGTACATTTGAATTCATAATAAAACAGAAAAATAATGTGCATGAATATGTATGCACTTGCCAAACAAAGATGAAAATTATACATTTCATATTTTCTGTTTGTTACTACTCTGAGCCCAAATTGTTCAAATTAAATACATTCTTCATGGTGTGGAAATCAAGATGGCTTAAATCTCCTCAGCAAAGTTTTTGCCTCTTACTTAAGCACAGACCTAAAAAAAAGAAAAGTATCCACCTTATTTCTACAGCCATTTCAAAGCATTGCTCTTGTAGTCACAGATCCAACTTCTTCTGCTTGTTTGTACAACCTTCAACATCGCAACAAGTTCCTAAACCGTGCAACACATTTCCAATGCATTGGGGACGTATGATGCCTGTGAAAAGGTGGTGAAAAAACACGTTCAAATAAATCGTGTTCATGTTCTGTTGTATTTTGTGCTTCATAATGTTTTAAGTTGCACTTACGGATGTCGCGCCGAACTGTATTTACTGAGATTGGTTTTCTGAAGTGTTCCCGAGCCCGTGTGGTTATATTCTTTACACATTGATGTCTGTCTTTGATACATTGCCGCCTGAGGGATCGAAGGTCACAGCCATTCAATTTTGGTTTTGGCTTTGTGCACACATTGTCATCAGCATGTTGCAACGGATATACAGAAAGACTTGAAGAGTCATAGAAAGGCATCAGAGTCATCATTCATCTCCATTTGTATGTCTTTGTTTTATTCGTGTTAAAGTAGCAGTTATTTTAAGGTGTATAGTTACTTTGTCAATGCTCAAATCTGCCATATTTTCCAAGTCTCGCTGCCAATGTCAGTCGAGATTGTTTTTTTTGCTCACATTGGGTGTTTCTAAAGATAAAACTGTTGCGAATGTCTCATCAGCTGTTTACACAACTTTTTCCCTCCTACGTTGCAGGATGTGGGGCGGATGAAAATTGAACTTTTTGCTGATGTCGTCCCAAGGACGGCTGAGAATTTCCGGTATGTTGTGATCTTAATTTGAGCATCGTTTTATTGTACCTTTTCTGGCAAGAAGCTTTTTTTTTTCAGCCTTATGATTGACTAAATACTTATAAGAGCCTTGCAGTGCCAAATGTTGCTTTGCTCCCTGAACGACAATGAGGGTAAATATGTGTGTTTAAAAACTCCCTTTCACCAAACTAGGGATGCTTCCCTCGATAAGCAGGAAAAAAATGGATGGATAAAAGCGACCATTTAGCAGAATTAGCGATGCACCAATACCAGTATCTGTGCTTATATTGTAAGACTTACCGTAAATTCTCATCGTTTCTTGCAGGCAGTTCTGCACTGGAGAATTCCGGTAAGGGAGACTTCCTGTAAATGTTTCTGATGTTTCACATCGTGTGAATAAAACAGGCCTGCCTTTTATGAGGTGTGAAACTAAAAATTCCTGTCTCACAGGAAGGATGGTGTACCTATTGGTTTCAAGAGCTGTACATTCCACAGGTATGGACTGCACGGACAGAGAGAATGTACAGAGTTCATTGTGTCTTACCCGTTACGTTGCCCATTTGCAGAGTGATCAAAGACTTTATGATCCAAGGAGGGGACTTTGTGAATGTGAGTATATGCCGATAGCAACTGGCAGCAGTGCCTTACACATTTGACTTTCAGTATAATTTGTTTAATCTCTCCGGTTCATGCTTAAAAAAAAAAGAAATGTTCCCCCCCCCGCATCCAGTAAATTGCCAAGTTGCAAACAATCGGCCTCTTGCTGGGCTCCTCGAAAATTGCAAATGCACAGTTTTGGTGAGTTTGATATGATGCAGTGTTTTTCTTACAGGGTGACGGCACTGGCATCTGCAGTATCTACAGAGGTCCATTTGCAGATGAAAACTTTCGAGTGCAGCATTCCATGCCTGGTCTTCTGTCCATGGTATGTGGCTTTGTCAACAATAAGGTGCAACTGCAAATAAAATAAGTTGGACATACTTTGTCGAAAAAAAGGAAACACTGTGCAAAATAATGAAAAAAATAGCTCCGTATTGGATTCACTGCCAGCTGTTTTAAAGGCAGAGTTACCCATTTTGACTGATCTCTGAAGCACCAAATCTAACAAAAGAGTAGACTCTTCTTTCACTAGAAAAAAAAAAAAGTATGTTTCAGCCTTGTCTCATTCTTTAGTATTTAGCCGTCAAACATGGGCTGCTTTCATCAAAAACAGTCAATTCTCACGATCGTTTATCAAGAGATTCAAGACACAGACTTGCAATTACCTACCGCAACACATCAGTTTAAACCATGCACAAACATACCGGTACTCTGTGACTAATTGTGTCTGACTTCCAATGTGTTGGGATTTTTGTCGCTCATAATCATCACGAGCACGAGATTCATCCCAGAGGATTTATCTTGGACTCAAAAGCAGTGCTGATCACAAAAATCCAAAGCGATACAACGCTGCCATCTGCAGGGATCTGTTGGTCATTACAGTGGTTTTAAAAACCTGAATTTCACTGACAGGCTGGGTGAGATCCTCTCTTACTCCTGCAAGACAAATAATTTGTCAGTGACAGGTAACACTTGCAATGTAGTACACGAATATACAGTATATGTCTACGGCAGTGAATGAGTTGAATAATGTTACTGAATTCAAACAAGGTGATAAGACATTTGTTTGCAAAACAGATATGACGTTGAATAATTATGACCCCTGGTGGTGGCAGGGACCTAAGCAGGTGCCTATTAATATACTTGGTCGCTCTGAGGCTGGTTTCAGGCTCAGACCTGGTTCAAAATGTTATCCTCATATAACTGTTCCAATGGAGGTTCCATTTTATTGACAGCCTTTGGCGGGAGCCTTTTCAAAGTTTGCTTTCGTTTGTGTTCAGATTATTTTTATTTTCTTTTACACAGAAAGTAGTCAATATAAAATTCACTTTGTTCTAAGATTCTGCTGTCATATTTCTTTCCCCTTAGGCAAACAGTGGTCCAGGGACAAATGGTTGCCAGTTTTTCATAACCTGCACTAAATGTGACTGGTTAGACGGAAAACATGTTGTTTTTGGTAAGCATGGACCCACTATCATGTGGATTTTTTTAATGTGTGTTTATTTAAAGTGTTATGCTAGATATTGTATGCATGAAAATGTCTTGAATGTTCTTATTTGTTGTTGTTTCAGGTAAAGTTGTGGATGGATTGCTGATCATGAGAAAGATTGAGGTACTTTACACTGAATATCAATCGACTTCACTCAAGTCATCTTAATAGAATTAATAGCATGACACATTTTTTTTTCTTCTTAATGTTATGACAATAAAAACTATTTATCCCCAACAGAACGTTCCCACAGGACCAAACAACAAGCCCAAGCTGCCGATCCTCATTGCACAATGTGGAGAGATGTGAGGGAAAATGGCTCTACGCACCTTACAAGTTACACTTATGCCCCATTTGTTGACCCTGCATAATGTCGTTAGTGTCTAATTCCATTGTACATGTAAAACCCAAAAAAGATTCAGCCCAACTTTATATCATGAACTTGAAATAAATAGTTTTTACTGAAAAAAAAAACATTTTGACATTTGCGTGTCTTTGTGAATAAAACTTCCAATTTACAGTACTGTACTTACTGTACTTACAGTACGTGAATGATGTCACCATTCACTGTCATAGAAGGTTGAAAATATGATTGTTCCTGTTGTTGCGACTTGTCCCATCGCTACAGCGACGTTTTATTATATATTCATCGATAAATTGTGTACATTAAAATCGAATGTATTGGACACCTGTTTCAAATCGCCTTTTTCTTCCTATTTGTAGATGACGTAAGATTGACGAGGCTGACGTCATTGGTAATATACTGCCCCCTTTGGTGTCTTTAATAGCTACAGTAGCCTGTTTTTTTTTCTCACTGAACACGCATTTTTATTCCCATTGTGATAAGAGTAACAATGGTTTCAGTGATTCTCATGGATATTTGTAAAATATATTTAGAATATTGCGCTTCTATATTTTGTTTTCGACATTCAAAGTCAGGTACCTTTATTTTACTTCAAGGTTTCATTCCTTTGGAGTGGCAAGCCTGGGGTATAATGCAATGTTTATGCTGCGAGAACATTGTGTTCCCAGTGTTTTATTAACCCCGTTGCCAGCCAGCCCCACCCCCACCGTTCCCCACCAACCCAAATAGAGAATCTCAAGTCAAGGAAAATGTAGAAAGAAATGGGATTTGGTGACTATTTCTGATTGGAGTGAGCTTATGAGCATTGATCAAGTGTTTCAAACACTTAAAACCAAATCGAATGAGCGAGGGATCCTCTGCTGAACTTGTTTCCCCCTTCTTATCCCGGCCATCCATACAAATCCAAGCTTGGCCCCTCCCCCATCCATGCTCTCGCTGTTCTGCCTTGGACCTCGTTCCACTGGCACAAAAGAATCCTTTTAGATGGAGACTGTTCTGGAGGCTGGAGGAAGGATTTTCCCCCCCGTTTTGTGTGTGTGTGGGGGGGGGGGGGGGGGGGGGGTGTGGGGGGGCCTAACTGTGTTGAGGTGAGCCAATCAATGGGCCCTGCGCAGCTTCCCTCATGCCGCTGACGTGCTCACGGCCCGCGTGCCGCTTTCAACGCGCAGACGGAAATAGACGTGAAAGACGAGGTCGCCGAGGCGCTCGGGCCGTAAAATAAAATAATCATTTAAATTAGCCTAAGTCCATGCAGGGTTTTCCCGCATGCCGCCAGTTACCGACCTATCCATGTTTGAGCTACTTTATGTTACTACACGCGTTTTCTTTGGGTTTGTCCCTAACTGCTTGCCGTAATATGACTTTACTGTTTTCCGTAGAAATTTCCGGTTGTTCGAATTCGCATCTGAACGAGTGTTCACCGTTTTTTTCCCCCCTATTTAAACGCGAAGTGAGTGGAATAATGTCCGTTCAAGCGACAAACCCCAACAATCCTATTGTTTTCTTCGACATTACAATAGGAGGACAGGTGAGTTGGAGAAAGACTTTCTTAACTCTTGTCCGTAACCAAGATGGAGAAACACACATGAGGCACCCCGGTGCTGACAGAAAGATTGAAGCGTGATCACTCACTCTGTTACAACAATCTTAGGTTGTGTCACTTGAAAACAAAAAAAAATGTACAAAAGTAAAATCCCTCATGTTTATTCGTCATTCTTTGTCAAATAAATAAATGAATGGTGGCAGGAGGCGGATCATTTCCTTCTCGTGAAGTAATGTGCTATACCAGACTTTTAGGATTTGTTAGGATACCAATAACCTTTTTGTAGAAATTTTATCAACACTGATTGCGTGAAATAAATACTGGCCATTAATTTGTACCAAGTTTGTTGTACATTTGAATTCATAATAAAACAGAAAAATAATGTGCATGAATATGCATGCACTTGCCAAACAAAGATGAAAATTATACATTTCATATTTTCTGTTTGTTACTACTCTGAGCCCAAATTGTTCAAATTAAAGACATTCTTCATGGTGTGGAAATCAAGATGGCTTAAATCTCCTCAGCAAAGTTTTTGCCTCTTACTTAAGCACAGACCTAAAAAAAAGAAAAGTATCCACCTTATTTCTACAGCCATTTCAAAGCATTGCTCTTGTAGTCACAGATCCAACTTCTTCTGCTTGTTTGTACAACCTTCAACATCGCAACAAGTTCCTAAACCGTGCAACACATTTCCAATGCATTGGGGACGTATGATGCCTGTGAAAAGGTGGTGAAAAAACACGTTCAAATAAATCGTGTTCATGTTCTGTTGTATTTTGTGCTTCATAATGTTTTAAGTTGCACTTACGGATGTCGCGCCAAACTGTATTTACTGAGATTGGTTTTCTGAAGTGTTCCCGAGCCCGTGTGGTTATATTCTTTACACATTGATGTCTGTTTTTGATACATTGCCGCCTGAGGGATCGAAGGTCACAGCCATTCAATTTTGGTTTTGGCTTTGTGCACACATTGTCATCAGCATGTTGCAACGGATATACAGAAAGACTTGAAGAGTCATAGAAAGGCATCAGAGTCATCATTCATCTCCATTTGTATGTCTTTGTTTTATTCGTGTTAAAGTAGCAGTTATTTTAAGGTGTATAGTTACTTTGTCAATGCTCAAATCTGCCATATTTTCCAAGTCTCGCTGCCAATGTCAGTCGAGATTGTTTTTTTTGCTCACATTGGGTGTTTCTAAAGATAAAACTGTTGCGAATGTCTCATCAGCTGTTTACACAACTTTTTCCCTCCTACGTTGCAGGATGTGGGGCGGATGAAAATTGAACTTTTTGCTGATGTCGTCCCAAGGACGGCTGAGAATTTCCGGTATGTTGTGATCTTAATTTGAGCATCGTTTTATTGTACCTTTTCTGGCAAGAAGCTTTTTTTTTTCAGCCTTATGATTGACTAAATACTTATAAGAGCCTTGCAGTGCCAAATGTTGCTTTGCTCCCTGAACGACAATGAGGGTAAATATGTGTGTTTAAAAACTCCCTTTCACCAAACTAGGGATGCTTCCCTCGATAAGCAGGAAAAAAATGGATGGATAAAAGCGACCATTTAGCAGAATTAGCGATGCACCAATACCAGTATCTGTGCTTATATTGTAAGACTTACCGTAAATTCTCATCGTTTCTTGCAGGCAGTTCTGCACTGGAGAATTCCGGTAAGGGAGACTTCCTGTAAATGTTTCTGATGTTTCACATCGTGTGAATAAAACAGGCCTGCCTTTTATGAGGTGTGAAACTAAAAATTCCTGTCTCACAGGAAGGATGGTGTACCTATTGGTTTCAAGAGCTGTACATTCCACAGGTATGGACTGCACGGACAGAGAGAATGTACAGAGTTCATTGTGTCTTACCCGTTACGTTGCCCATTTGCAGAGTGATCAAAGACTTTATGATCCAAGGAGGGGACTTTGTGAATGTGAGTATATGCCGATAGCAACTGGCAGCAGTGCCTTACACATTTGACTTTCAGTATAATTTGTTTAATCTCTCCGGTTCATGCTTAAAAAAAAAAAGAAATGTTCCCCCCCCCGCATCCAGTAAATTGCCAAGTTGCAAACAATCGGCCTCTTGCTGGGCTCCTCGAAAATTGCAAATGCACAGTTTTGGTGAGTTTGATATGATGCAGTGTTTTTCTTACAGGGTGACGGCACTGGCATCTGCAGTATCTACAGAGGTCCATTTGCAGATGAAAACTTTCGAGTGCAGCATTCCATGCCTGGTCTTCTGTCCATGGTATGTGGCTTTGTCAACAATAAGGTGCAACTGCAAATAAAATAAGTTGGACATACTTTGTCGAAAAAAAGGAAACACTGTGCAAAATAATGAAAAAAATAGCTCCGTATTGGATTCACTGCCAGCTGTTTTAAAGGCAGAGTTACCCATTTTGACTGATCTCTGAAGCACCAAATCTAACAAAAGAGTAGACTCTTCTTTCACTAGAAAAAAAAAAAAGTATGTTTCAGCCTTGTCTCATTCTTTAGTATTTAGCCGTCAAACATGGGCTGCTTTCATCAAAAACAGTCAATTCTCACGATCGTTTATCAAGAGATTCAAGACACAGACTTGCAATTACCTACCGCAACACATCAGTTTAAACCATGCACAAACATACCGGTACTCTGTGACTAATTGTGTCTGACTTCCAATGTGTTGGGATTTTTGTCGCTCATAATCATCACGAGCACGAGATTCATCCCAGAGGATTTATCTTGGACTCAAAAGCAGTGCTGATCACAAAAATCCAAAGCGATACAACGCTGCCATCTGCAGGGATCTGTTGGTCATTACAGTGGTTTTAAAAACCTGAATTTCACTGACAGGCTGGGTGAGATCCTCTCTTACTCCTGCAAGACAAATAATTTGTCAGTGACAGGTAACACTTGCAATGTAGTACACGAATATACAGTATATGTCTACGGCAGTGAATGAGTTGAATAATGTTACTGAATTCAAACAAGGTGATAAGACATTTGTTTGCAAAACAGATATGACGTTGAATAATTATGACCCCTGGTGGTGGCAGGGACCTAAGCAGGTGCCTATTAATATACTTGGTCGCTCTGAGGCTGGTTTCAGGCTCAGACCTGGTTCAAAATGTTATCCTCATATAACTGTTCCAATGGAGGTTCCATTTTATTGACAGCCTTTGGCGGGAGCCTTTTCAAAGTTTGCTTTCGTTTGTGTTCAGATTATTTTTATTTTCTTTTACACAGAAAGTAGTCAATATAAAATTCACTTTGTTCTAAGATTCTGCTGTCATATTTCTTTCCCCTTAGGCAAACAGTGGTCCAGGGACAAATGGTTGCCAGTTTTTCATAACCTGCACTAAATGTGACTGGTTAGACGGAAAACATGTTGTTTTTGGTAAGCATGGACCCACTATCATGTGGATTTTTTTAATGTGTGTTTATTTAAAGTGTTATGCTAGATATTGTATGCATGAAAATGTCTTGAATGTTCTTATTTGTTGTTGTTTCAGGTAAAGTTGTGGATGGATTGCTGATCATGAGAAAGATTGAGGTACTTTACACTGAATATCAATCGACTTCACTCAAGTCATCTTAATAGAATTAATAGCATGACACATTTTTTTTTCTTCTTAATGTTATGACAATAAAAACTATTTATCCCCAACAGAACGTTCCCACAGGACCAAACAACAAGCCCAAGCTGCCGATCCTCATTGCACAATGTGGAGAGATGTGAGGGAAAATGGCTCTACGCACCTTACAAGTTACACTTATGCCCCATTTGTTGACCCTGCATAATGTCGTTAGTGTCTAATTCCATTGTACATGTAAAACCCAAAAAAGATTCAGCCCAACTTTATATCATGAACTTGAAATAAATAGTTTTTACTGAAAAAAAAAACATTTTGACATTTGCGTGTCTTTGTGAATAAAACTTCCAATTTACAGTACTGTACTTACTGTACTTACAGTACGTGAATGATGTCACCATTCACTGTCATAGAAGGTTGAAAATATGATTGTTCCTGTTGTTGCGACTTGTCCCATCGCTACAGCGACGTTTTATTATATATTCATCGATAAATTGTGTACATTAAAATCGAATGTATTGGACACCTGTTTCAAATCGCCTTTTTCTTCCTATTTGTAGATGACGTAAGATTGACGAGGCTGACGTCATTGGTAATATACTGCCCCCTTTGGTGTCTTTAATAGCTACAGTAGCCTGTTTTTTTTTCTCACTGAACACGCATTTTTATTCCCATTGTGATAAGAGTAACAATGGTTTCAGTGATTCTCATGGATATTTGTAAAATATATTTAGAATATTGCGCTTCTATATTTTGTTTTCGACATTCAAAGTCAGGTACCTTTATTTTACTTCAAGGTTTCATTCCTTTGGAGTGGCAAGCCTGGGGTATAATGCAATGTTTATGCTGCGAGAACATTGTGTTCCCAGTGTTTTATTAACCCCGTTGCCAGCCAGCCCCACCCCCACCGTTCCCCACCAACCCAAATAGAGAATCTCAAGTCAAGGAAAATGTAGAAAGAAATGGGATTTGGTGACTATTTCTGATTGGAGTGAGCTTATGAGCATTGATCAAGTGTTTCAAACACTTAAAACCAAATCGAATGAGCGAGGGATCCTCTGCTGAACTTGTTTCCCCCTTCTTATCCCGGCCATCCATACAAATCCAAGCTTGGCCCCTCCCCCATCCATGCTCTCGCTGTTCTGCCTTGGACCTCGTTCCACTGGCACAAAAGAATCCTTTTAGATGGAGACTGTTCTGGAGGCTGGAGGAAGGATTTTCCCCCCCGTTTTGTGTGTGTGTGGGGGGGGGGGGAGAGGCGGCTTCATGGGGAGGCTTTCTGAGGTCAATGCAAAAGCTCATCTTTGTGTGGGAGAAGGTGAACAAGGACCTCTTCGCACATCAGCCAATGCTCATAATATACAGTGTCAGTGGAGCATTAACATCACAATGGGAGGGGGGGGGTGTTGCTGGCTGCAGTGGGATTGTCTCACACCCATTCTGGGTCTGTCCACTGGACTGGAGGTCCGGTTTTGGATTCAATGTGAATTCTAGTGATTTGTACAGGGCAATTTTATGTGACTGGGAGTATTGTATGTGGATTCTGCACTGTATTTTTGAGATGACCATTAAATGGATAACATTCCTTACTGTGATCCTTGACATGGTGGAATGCAATCGATGCACATTTTTTTCATGCAGCATTTTCATTCTGTCCAGCGGAAGAAAATACCTTGTTGGGTTCCTTTGCATTAAGGTCAACTCCAATCCACTGAGCTACAGCCACACGTAACATTTCCAGGACCCGTGGGTAAAATATTATTCACTTCGGACTCAGCATAACCCTTTCAAATGTTTGACATACACAAATTGGCCTTGATGACAGCAATTAACAAAAAATTAAAATATTTTTACTGCTGTTGAATCAGCTAGATAAAACGTATTTGTATTTCGTATGCATTATGTGGTTTATGACTTGTTTTCTAATAATTCGTTGCGCATATATCACATCATCCATCCATCGATTATCGGAGCCATTCATGCTCACGGAACGTATTCCAAAAGTGTCAATTGGTTCGTCTGTCTTTGACGTTACTATGGAACGCTGTGGGTTGACAGGTACTTTCTTCCCCAGCCAATCATAGCAACCAAACTCTAATCAAACACCTCCCTCGCCTTCTATGATCAATGTCATAGCCAATCGGAGCGCGCGCTCGTTTCCGTTCCAGATCCCAGCCAATGAAATCACTGACTGGGCGGTGCTCAGGCCAGGAACTTTTCCCAGCAGTTTAACAGTCTGCCCAGTTCGATCGGCAACGGGAGCGGGAAGAAGAAAGCAGAGAGCCTGAAGGCAGTAGCCCCCCACCACCGCCGGCCCAGGTTACCATCTTGCACCGGGAGAGACAACAGAGAGCCGCCACCGGCAGAAGCCATTACCAACCAGTAGTGACCATGAGCAGCGAGGCCGAGATACAACAACAGCCGCAGCAGCCTGCTGCCGACGTGGAGAGTCCATCCAGCCCGGTAGTCGCAGCTTCCGCGGGGGATAAAAAGGTCATCGGTAAGATTACGGCTGTAAATGACCTTAATTACCCATTTAGCTCATTTGTGTAGCTAGCCACCAAATCGCAGGTGAATGTTTACCAGCACCATATAACTTTTCGAAATTGTGTACATGACAGAAATTGTGAATCTGCCCGGGCGATCTAAGTGTCACTCACTGCACTAGTATGTAAGTTGAAGTTTGAAACGATAATAGAAGTGAAAACAACGCGTGATTTTAAACATGCACCTTCACATTTTTGTTGCATTTAAACGCAGGCTGCTGTTACGTTTGACGGGGGCTTCATTTATCGAAGATGCGGCAACTGAGTACTTTCCGGTTCAGTTGGCCTTCTAACGTCCGTCCACCGGTGCCACGTTACCGGCCGGCCGTTACAAATTCGACCGCTCCTTTCTTACTGTCGTTTAGATTACTAGACTACACACTTAAATACCCCCCTATAATTCGTGTCACCGAAACCAGCCTCGACCGTCGCCTCCGCAGACGAGCTAATGCTAACTGATTCGGCCGTCCCTTTGTTCGCAGCAATAACTCGGGTTTCCCGTGCCGGTTACTTTCCGCCATTAAACGGTTTCGTCGCTCACCAAAAACCAGAGCACGATATGATTAGCGGCTGTTCAAGAAACTCTTAAACGCGGCACAGTCTAGAATTAAAGTCGAATTCCACTGTCACTTGCGGCCTTCGTCAGCTGCTTAACGGCGACTGGGGGTGGTGGGCTGGCTAAGCTAACGCTAGCTCTGCTATTTTCACGGTTGAAGGGGACACCCAAAATGTCGGCCGAACCCTTCTTCCATTCGTTGTCGTTTTCTTCGCCGGCGACGCGTAGCAGGCGAATGGTTTACTTTCGGTTCCGTTGTGGTATTTCCCGTCATGTAAGCCGCGGTGGTTCGAGCTAGTTGGCCCCGTTTCAACCACATGGCTGCGAAGCATTAGGCTAGTTAGCCGTGCGAGTTAGCCATGCTAACGAACCAGCTCTGCTAACATGTCACCGCGCGACATCACCACGTGCACAGCGCGCTCTGGTTCATCGCGGGCCACTAGATTATATACTCATGGAATCTTCACTAATTTAAAGTTGGACAAGGATAGTTTAAACACATACATTTTAAATGAGACATTAGGACTTCGGTTGGCAGTGATTCTCAACTGTTGTCAAACGGGGACCCGCATTTTCCCACCGAAGCCAAGTCGTGACCTACTTCACATGTTTGAAGTACGTTTCAGAGAACCTTACTTAGACTCTGAGAGTGAGCATGACTGATTGTACAAAAATGAATGCTGTGTTGTAAATTTAAATACAATTGCATCAAATCAAGCCAAATTTCACTCATGTTTTGCTTTTTTTTTGGTTTGATTTTGACATATCTGTAAAAATGTTAAGGCAAGTCCAGACTGGGGTATAATTTTAAATATTTCACGTTCTCAGTTTATTAAAGAGTTCACCTCTGTATCTAACCCATGTTCATGCCTCAGTAAAACTATAACAGTAAATTAATTAAAATTTTAACATTTGTAAACAAATATTTGTGGGCTATAAATATGAAACCACAAAATCCTAACTGTGCTACTTCTGTATGATTCCATGTGCCACATAACCATGTGTTCTTATGCTGTTTGGAACCTTGAATCTTCGAACATTTAGACTGTTGTAGTTCACGGTATAAAAAGGCAGTGGGTTCACTACCTACAAATGAGTTTTTACATGATACATTTCAATTCCAATGTTTTTCTTTTGTTTGAAATATAATTGGCACACAATACCTTTACAAACTACTGGCGGTAACTGTGTGTGTCTTCTTGCATGCCATTCATAACCCGTCATATTTCCCCCCCAACCTGTCATGACTCACCCATCGTGGGCCCGGCCCACTTTTGCGTACATACCTCCCCGTTGAGAATCACTAATGTACAAGCTCGTGATAATATTTGAGTTCTACCCGCAATCACAATGTAATGGTCATAAGTAAATGACGATTGTAATTAATCTGGCTACGTGTAGGAGCTTGATAGAACATGATGTATAAGGCTGCAAGGAAAACGTGTTGGTCCGCCCCAATTGGCTTTTAGTGGTGCTTGTCGAGTGCAGCTGGCTTAGGTCTAAAAAGAGTGTCGCAGTTGGCAGTTAAATATAACTTCCAGGCAATGTTATTGAAGTTATTTGATGCTGTTGCTGCCCCCCACGCCTCCTCAGTATAAAGGTCTTGAGTGGGTGTGACTTGTGTGCAAAAATGCGGGTTGCAAAATAGCCTATTTTCTATGTATAAATTGAATGACAGATGCCAACCTAATTACGAATTAGTTAATTATTTACATTTTTTCTTCACGATACTTCCCATGTCTGATTTTTGGGTTACATGCCGTTCTGCCGCAACCATCGAAGACTTTATATTTTACGCAACATACGCCGCGCCATACATATGCCGGCCATTTGGCAACTTAACATCATTTTAGGCTCAGAATGTCACAAGCCTTTTTGGCAATTTAATAGTTAAGGCTGGCGAAGATGCTGTTGACGAGACCAATTTGTGGCTGTTTTAATTTGAGAAATGTCTCCATTTGCACCACTTGTCATCTCGTGGCAATGAGTGCCATCCAAAAAGAAAAAGTTATGATCATAACAGAAAAATGGCAAAATAATGACTTTGTCATAGTCTTCTGGAGTATTAAGAAGTACAGTACTGTTTCTGCTCTTTCAAGTGTATAATGGTACAATGTCGTCTCTCTCGTTAGCCACAAAAGTCCTGGGTACAGTGAAATGGTTCAACGTCAGGAACGGATATGGTTTCATCAATCGGTAAGTGGACCCCCCGTCGCGCCCTCCTCCACACCTGTTCCTCTTAAGAGGCCCTGGAAGTGTGTTTGAAGGGGCAAGTGCAATCCTATTATAGCTCCGATTTGCCCACGGCGCTGATGGGACAATTTGTCTACTGCTCACCGTGCTGTTCGTGCGCAGCTTAACACTTGTGACTTTAGCTGCAGTCTGTCCACTGACGGGTTCAGTCTGCAATGTTTCACTAACTAGACGTAATCTTCTTTGCACAGGAACGACACGAAAGAGGACGTTTTTGTACACCAGGTAAGTTGACGGGACTCGTTTTATGTTGTGACGACCAACATATGTCATTAAAAAAAAAAAGACACATAACTACACCTGTGTAGGGCTTGATAAAAAAAAAAATCTAAGTAGCGGGTGCTTAGTAGTGTGTTTGCGCTGCGCAGCTGGTGGATGTGATTGACGAAGATTGTCTTCTTTTACTAAGATTCCGAATAACAAATGCTAAATTGCGTGTTCACTCACTCAACCAGATTACACAAACTGTTCGTAACAGGAGTAAAAGGGGCGCACCCTGCTACATTTGAGAGCTTTGACGGTTTTCATCCTGAAAATTTTGAGGGCGTACCACAAACACAAAATGAAATTTCAAGCGATTTATTATTTTTTCTCTCTCTATTTATCCTTTTTTAAAAAATATTGAATACGACAGTGCTTGTGTGAGGTGGTGCACATTCAGCCAAACATACAAATACAAAATGAGAACTTGTAAAAACTACGGCAGGCGAAAACTCACTCGACGCTCATAGCTAGACTAACCAGGAGGTCTTCACGATAAATTGGGTTCAAATCAACTTCACCATGTTATAGAATTCCGTTTTTAAATTGCAAAGGCTAAAATATATGTGTGTGTATATATATATATATATA